CATTCGTCGCCTGACAGCTTGGCCTTCATGCACTCACCGCATCAGCCACAGAGAGCTGCGTGAAATGTGATCTCCATCCTTGGTAATAGATTAATGCTCTGTGCTGTTTATCAGGGCCATACATACTGTAGGTTATGGACTTTTAACAAATAAATGCTACAGAGACTTCAGCAAGGCTTTTATTGCTTTTAATCCTTCGTTGGTTGACAGGTATTTTTGATATTTATTGTAAGATTAGTCATTCCTTCATTCATTCATTCATTTTCTACCCCTTTATTAGTCCATTTCTGGGTCGGGGGGTGATATAGAGAGTTGCATCCAATACTAATAGCACAAGTCTCTCGCTGATTCTCCTGCAACCTGGGTTTATGTGTCTTGCCCAAGGACACCACGGCAGCAGACAGGAGCAGGATGTTGTGCTCAGTAACGCATTGTGAGGGTACGGGCGCCGAAAGATTAGCGGAAGTTGCCTGGAACTCGCAAAGATTCATGGGAACTGGCCTGTATTTGGGCATCGTCTGGTCTTCCCGGTTCAGCGCAGTGGGTGATCTCCCATGATCTACCATGCACACACATGTAAGTAAGTAAGTAAGTAATGTTTATTTATATACCGCCTTTCACAGACAAGGGTCACAAAGCGGTTTACAATTGTTATTATTTTTTTTTTGGGCATCTGTCCTCTCACTCCACACAGAGATGGGAGCGGGGTCGCCGAACAGGAGGCGCGTGCCAGACCTATTGTACATATTTTTAGTGGTAGGGGAAACCGGAGTACCCGGAGGAAACCTACGCAGACACGGGGAGAACATGCAAACTCCACTCAGAAAGGCCCTGGTCCGACCGGGATTTGAACCCAGGACCTTCTTGCTGAGAGGCGAGAGTGCTATCCACTCAGCCACCGTGCACAGAGGAGCTCGGCCACGCTCTGACCAATCAGTGTAGCTCATTGGGAGTTAGTGCGAGAGCCAGACGAGCAGAGTTTGTGGAAGTTTTCTTTAAATTCACACTTTAGTGTGGATTTAAAGAAAACTGAAAAATGAAAGAAGAAAAAACTTCAAGATGACAAGGGACACTAAAATCGTCACAAAATCCGACCTTTATGAAAGCTGTAGGTTCTCTGTCAGGTTCTCTGTCAGCTGAGGCCGAGATGTTTTAGTTTACATTGAGTTCTATGGGGAAAATTTCTGGGTAACGTGAATTTAGTCTGGTTTAGTCTGCAGTACCGCGAGAATCCCCCAAGCACATGGGTTATTCAGCCCCAAGCTGTAACACCCTATCCAGTTATTATAATAGATCCATGGCTGTAACTCAGACAGCAGCTCATTTATCTTCGATCTCAAATATTCCTTATAAATGCGGGATTATTGCATTAAAATCGAGTAAATCCCCAGGGCTGGTCTCTTGAGCCAATTAGCCCTGATAAATCCTAATATTGTGACAATGACAGACTGGCTTTCAGCAGACCTTTATGTTTCCCTCTGCTCTGTGCCCAAGCTGTATTCACGAGAGAACATTCAGACCTCCTCTGAAGGCAAATTAATTATAGCAATCTTTACAAATCCAACTATGCTGGTTGAAACGTCGTTACACGGCTAGACGCAGGGTGGACGTACATACCGGAAAAACCTCATGGATCTTCGAGATACTTGGCAAAGAGCCCACAGAGGTTGATTTACAAGTAACATCTTTGTTAAACCGCAGCAAGAATTAAACTCTGTCTAAAAACAAAATAACAACTATGAGTTTTATTAGATTGTAGATAAATTACCCTGTGCAATCGGTTCATTTAAAGGTACCTTTCTCTCTCCTGTCTCTCTCGGGGCTCTCTCTGGTCTCTCTCGGGTCCCTCTCTGGGCTCTCTCTGGTCTCTCTCTGGCCTCTCTCTTGTTTCTCTCTGGTCTCCCTCTGGTCTCTCTCTGGTCTTTTTCTAGTCTCTCTCTGGTCTCTCTCTGGTCTCTCTCTGGTCTCTCTCTGGTCTCTCACTGGTCTCTCACTGGTCTCTCACTGGTCTCTCACTGGTCTCTCTCTGGTCTCTCTCTGGTCTCTCTCTGGTCTCTCTCTGGTCTCTCTCTGGTCTCTCTCTGGTCTCTCTCTGGCCTCTCTCTTGTTTCTCTCTGGTCTCCCTCTGGTCTCTCTCTGGTCTTTTTCTAGTCTCTCTCTGGTCTCTCTCTGGTCTCTCTCTGGTCTCTCTCTGGTCTCTCACTGGTCTCTCACTGGTCTCTCTCGGGTCCCTCTCTGGGCTCTCTCTGGTCTCTCTCTGGCCTCTCTCTTGTTTCTCTCTGGTCTCCCTCTGGTCTCTCTCTGGTCTTTTTCTAGTCTCTCTCTGGTCTCTCTCTGGTCTCTCTCTGGTCTCTCTCTGGTCTCTCTCTGGTCTCTCACTGGTCTCTCACTGGTCTCTCACTGGTCTCTCTCTGGTCTCTCTCTGGTCTCTCTCTGGTCTCTCTCTGGTCTCTCTCTGGTCTCTCTCTGGTCTCCCTCTGGTCTCTCTCTGGTCTTTTTCTAGTCTCTCTCTGGTCTCTCTCTGGTCTCTCTCTGGTCTCTCTCTGGTCTCTCTCTGGTCTCTCTCTGGTCTCTCTCTGGTCTCTCTCTGGTCTCTCACTGGTCTCTCACTGGTCTCTCTCTGGTCTCTCACTGGTCTCTCTCTGGTCTCTCTCTGGTCTCTCTCTGGTCTCTCTCTGGTCTCTCTCTGGTCTCTCTCTGGTCTCTCTCTGGTCTCTCTCTGGTCTCTCTCTGGTCTCTCTCTGGTCTCTCTCTCTGGTCTCTCTCTCTGGTCTCTCTCTCTGGTCTCTCTCTCTGGTCTCTCTCTGGTCTCTCTCTCTGGTCTCTCTCTGGTCTCTCTCTGGTCTCTCTCTCTGGTCTCTCTCTCTGGTCTCTCTCGGGTCTCTCTCGGGTCTCTCTCGGGTCTCTCTCGGGTCTCTCTCGGGTCTCTCTCTGGTCTCTCTCTGGTCTCTCTCTGGTCTCTCTCTGGTCTCTCTCTGGTCTCTCTCTGGTCTCTCTCTGGTCTCTCTCTGGTCTCTCTCTGGTCTCTCTCGGGTCTCTCTCGGGTCTCTCTCTGGTCTCTCTCTGGTCTCTCTCTGGTCTCTCTCTGGTCTCTCTCTGGTCTCTCTCTGGTCTCTCTCTGGTCTCTCTCGGGTCTCTCTCGGGTCTCTCTCTGGTCCCTCTCTGGTCCCTCTCTATACGTTCTCAAATTGGACGATTAAACTCAAGATTCATATTGATTTAGTCTCAATTGAAAATACAATTGACAAGTTGCCCCTTTTATTTGTGGTAAAATTGTATACATAGGTTTACAAGCTGATTATCCAACCAGAAAGCAGGACTATATTTTGAGTTGCCAGTTCAGACTTCTGCTGAAATCTATCAGGTTTGGCATCTAATTTTCTTTCTCTTAACCCAGAAGGTGGGTCACGTCATGTAACTTATACCTAAGAGTGCATCATTTGTATTTATTTATGATTTTTATCTATTTTGACATCACCGCAGGCTTTGAATACATTACTTTTTGTGTATATCTTTGTGATTTGTGGAAAATGGACTCCCAAAAAAACAGCTCTGCATAGCTTAAAAATGGAGTCCCACTTTGAATTACCATAAATAGTAGAATGGCAAGAAAAGAGGAAGTTTAGTTTAAATGATAGGAAAGACATACAAATACAATACAGTACAAAATCACACACAGAGAGACACAGATAATTCATACACTTATTTTGACTTGATTGCTATGATTATTTTGATCATTTTTTATCTATATAAAAATATAGATATATATAGATATTATTTCAGTCTGGGCGTCTCTGCTAAGACTGCTGCTCCTGCGACCCGGCAACGGATGAAGCGGAAGACAATGGATGAATGGCTGAAGATATTATTGCATTATCTGTCAATACTTGGGATAAAAAGGCATTTCAAGCTTCTACATCACAGATCTATTATCAAAACAAGAGAGAAAGAACCCGGAGCACTGGGGCAGCTCCTACACTTTTTCCTGAATGCCTTAAAACTAAATCAAAACTTGTAATTAGCTCACGGCTTATCAGACAAATGCATACCGACACTAAACTATACAGCCAAAACCTAGGGAGACTTAAGTAGGCTGTCAAACCACTTGGCCAGACTTCCACTCCCCCGTCACCAAGAAAAACGGCTACCAACAAATGTGCGAAGAGACAGAAATAACAACCGTGGAATAGTCTTGGGCCTAGCATAGCGCTCTCCCGTTCTTATATCTCACCCTGACAGACACGCTGTTTGTTGCACCATTGAACAACGGCTTCATTAAAGACGTCCTATGCCACGGTTGACCGCCTCCACAGCCTGCATTCAGAGATTTGGGGAATATAAAAAGGGGTTTCTCTCTGGTCTCTCTCTCTGGTGTCTCTCTAGTCTCTCTCTGGTCTCGCCCCTGGTTTTTCTCTTGTCTCTCTCTAGTTTCTCTCTGGTATCTCTCTAGTCTCTCTCGGGTCTCTCTCTTGTTTCTCTTTGGTCTCTCTCTAGTCTCTCTCTGGTCTCTCTCTCATGTCTCTCTCGGGTCTCTCTCTTGTCGGTCTCTTCTCCCTCTCTTGTCTCTCCTGTCTCTCTTGTCTCTCTCTCTTCTCTCTCTTGGGTCTCTCTCTAGTCTCTCTCTAATCTCTCTCGGGTCTCTCTCAGGTCTCTCTCTGGTCTCTCTTTGGTCTCTCTCTTTTCTCTCTCTAGTTTCTCTCTCGTCTCTCTCTAGTCTCTCTCGGGTCTCTCTCGCTGGTCTCTCTCTCTTCTCTCTCTCGGGTCTCTCTATTGTCCGTCTCTTCTCCCTCTCTTGTCTCTCCTGTCTCTCTGGTCTCTCTCTGGTCTCTCTCTTGTCTCTCTCTGGTCTCTCTCTGGTCTCTCTCTGGTCTCTCTCTGGTCTCTCTCTGGTCTCTCTCTGGTCTCTCTCTGGTCTCTCTCTGGTCTCTCTCTGGTCTCTCTCCACAGCCTGCATTCAGAGATTTGGGGAACATAAAAAGGGGTTTGGACTCGATACTCACTGCAGCGGTCGCCCTCGTCGTCTCCGAGCGGGCAGTCTGTCTGGAAGTCGCACACTTGGTCCAATGCGATGGTGGGACCTTGGTGACAGTGGTACACGCCCTCCAAGGTGACGTTAGGACCCGACAAAGGGGCTGCAAGACAGAAAGGAAAAAATATATAGTTGTAAGTAGCGTTCAAGGACAACTCGGGGATAGAATTATGTTTGGTTTGTCCTTTTTGTTTTAATGGCGGTAAACATTAGCGCCCGTGATTCTTTGGGCCTGTCATGCTCACTGTTTTGCTTACGTCTATTTATAACGGTACATAAACCAGGTGAGCTACGGGAGGAAAGAATTTTAATCATACCATGGAAAATATGATTAGTTTGAAGTTGTTATCCTTAAATGTTCCCTCTTTGGTATTTCTCTCTCTAGTTTCTCTCTTTCTCTGCAACTCTCTGGTCTCTGTCTGCTCTCTCTCTGGTCTCTCTCTGGCCTCTTTGGTCTCTCTCTGGTCCCTCTCTGGTCTCTCTCTGGTCTCTCTCTGGTCTCTCTCTGGTCCCTCTCTGGTCTCTCTCTGGTCTCTCTCTGCTCTCTCTCTGCTCTCTCTCTGGTCTCTCTCTGGTCTCTCTCTCTGGTCGCTCTCTGGTCTCTCTCTGGTCCCTCTCTGGTCCCTCTCTGGTCCCTCTCTGGTCTCTCTCTGGTCTCTCTCTGGTCTCTCTCTGGTCTCTCTCTGGTCTCTCTCTGGTCTCTCTCTGGTCTCTCTCTGGTCTCTCTCTGGTCTCTCTCTGGTCTCTCTCTGGTCTCTCTGGTCTCTCTGGTCTCTCTCTGGTCTCTCTCTGGTCTCTCTCTGGTCTCTCTCTCTGGTCTCTCTCTGGTCTCTCTCTGGTCTCTCTCTGGTCCCTCTCTGGTCCCTCTCTGGTCCCTCTCTGGTCTCTCTCTCTGGTCTCTCTCTCTGGTCTCTCTCTCTGGTCTCCCTCTCTGGTCTCTCTCTGGTCTCTCTCTCTGGTCTCTCTCTGGTCTCTCTCTGGTCCCTCTCTGCTCTCTCTCTGCTCTCTCTCTGCTCTCTCTCTGGTCTCTCTCTGCTCTCTCTCTGCTCTCTCTCTGCTCTCTCTCTGGTCTCTCTCTCTGGTCTCTCTCTGGTCTCTCTCTGGCCTCTCTCTGGTCCCTCTCTCTGGTCCCTCTCTGGTCTCTCTCTCTGGTCTCCCTCTCTGGTCTCTCTCTCTGGTCTCTCTCTGGTCCCTCTCTGGTCCCTCTCTGGTCTCTCTCTGGTCTCTCTCTCTGGTCTCTCTCTGGTCTCTCTCTGGTCCCTCTCTGGTCTCTCTCTGCTCTCTCTCTGGTCTCTCTCTGCTCTCTCTCTGCTCTCTCTCTGGTCTCTCTCTGGTCTCTCTCTGGTCTCTCTCTCTGGCCTCTCTCTGGTCTCTCTCTGGTCTCTCTCTGGTCTCTCTCTGGTCTCTCTGTCTGGTCTCTCTCTGGTCTCTCTCTGGTCTCTCTCTGGTCTCTCTCTGGTCTCTCTCTGGTCTCTCTCTGGTCTCTCTCTGGTCTCTCTCTGGTCTCTCTCTGGTCTCTCTCTGGTCTCTCTCTCTGGTCTCTCTCTGGTCTCTCTCTGGTCTCTCTCTGGTCCCTCTCTGGTCCCTCTCTGGTCCCTCTCTGGTCTCTCTCTCTGGTCTCTCTCTCTGGTCTCTCTCTCTGGTCTCTCTCTGGTCCCTCTCTGGTCTCTCTCTGGTCTCTCTCTCTGGTCTCTCTCTGGTCTCTCTCTGGTCCCTCTCTGCTCTCTCTCTGCTCTCTCTCTGCTCTCTCTCTGCTCTCTCTCTGCTCTCTCTCTGCTCTCTCTCTGGTCTCTCTCTCTGGCCTCTCTCTGGTCTCTCTCTGGTCTCTCTCTGGCCTCTCTCTGGCCTCTCTCTGGTCTCTCTCTGGTCCCTCTCTGGTCCCTCTCTGGTCTCTCTCTCTGGTCTCTCTCTCTGGTCCCTCTCTGGTCCCTCTCTGGTCTCTCTCTCTGGTCTCTCTCTCTGGTCTCTCTCTGGTCCCTCTCTGGTCCCTCTCTGGTCTCTCTCTCTGGTCTCTCTCTCTGGTCTCTCTCTGGTCCCTCTCTGCTCTCTCTCTGGTCTCTCTCTGGCCTCTCTCTGGTCTCTCTCTGGTCCCTCTCTGGTCTCTCTCTGGTCTCTCTCTGGTCTCTCTCTGGTCTCTCTCTGGTCTCTCTCTGGTCTCTCTCTGGTCTCTCTCTGGTCTCTCTCTGGTCTCTCTCTGGTCTCTCTCTGGTCTCTCTCTGGTCTCTCTGGTCTCTCTCTGGTCTCTCTCTGGTCTCTCTCTGGTCTCTCTCTCTGGTCTCTCTCTCTGGTCTCTCTCTCTGGTCTCTCTCTGGTCTCTCTCTGGTCTCTCTCGCTGGCCTCTCTCTGGTCTCTCTCTGGTCTCTCTCTGGTCCCTCTCTGGTCTCTCTCTGGTCTCTCTCTGGTCTCTCTCTGGTCTCTCTCTCTGGTCTCTCTCTCTGGTCTCTCTCTCTGGTCCCTCTCTGGTCTCTCTCTCTGCTCTCGCATCATAATTTCATCCTCTTATCATGTTTTGAATGATGCCTTCTCTTTGCTTCCACTGCAACGACATTATGATGGTCATTTCAAAACTTTCGGCCCAACTTCTGTTAGACTGAACTCTCTGTAACTGTTGGTGATGTGGACTTTGGAGATTGAGCTTGTATTTTTATATTATATTGTATGTTTGTATGGGTTCCACTATCGCTTATGTTACTATCGGATATATCCTGTCTTTTTTTGTGTTTTATGCCCTGTGCTGCTTTAACGAATTGCCCTTGGTGGGATAAATAAAGTGAATCTGAACGTTAAATGGAGAAGCCGTGCGGATGACATCACCTCATCCATCAATCAGCACAAGACAAGTAAAGACTAAACCTTTGACTTATGGTACATTTACCAGGTCAGAGCTCAGCTTGTTTGAATGGACGAGTGTCAAAGGTGGGCTGACGTGAGTGAGACGTGAGGGCATTGCCAAACTGTGCTCTGAATGTTGGGACCCACGGCCTTTATGTCTGCTGCTGGGTTTAGAACATACAGAAGAAACGGAGAATACATAAGTGTTATGTTGGTCTCTCTCTGGTCTCTCTCTAGTCTCTCTCTTTTCTCTCTCTAGTCTCTCTCTAGTCTCTCTCTGGGCTCTCCCTGGGCTCTCTCTGGGCTCTCTCTCTGGTCTCTCTCTGGTCTCTCTCTGGTCTCTCTCTGGTCTCTCTCTGGTCTCTCTCTGGCCTCTCTCTGGACTCTCTCTCTGGCCTCTCTCTGGTCTCTCTCTGGTCTCTCTCTCTGGACTCTCTCTGGTCTCTCTCTGGTCTCTCTCTGGTCTCTCTCTGGTCTCTCTCTGGCCTCTCTCTGGTCTCTCTCTGGTCTCTTGCTGGCCTCTCTCTGGTCTCTCTCTGGCCTCTCTCTGGTCTCTCTCTGGTCTCTCTCTGGTCTCTCTCTGGTCTCTCTCTGGCCTCTCTCTGGTCTCTCTCTGGTCTCTCTCTGGTCTCTCTCTGGTCTCTCTCTGGTCTCTCTCTGGTCTCTCTCTGGTCTCTCTGCTTTACTGAGCCTCAGATCCCGCTGCAGTGGGAGGCGAACTTCATCAACGCATCACAACCTTTTGTACAGGTTCTTCTGGTTGAGCGGTTTAATACGAACAATATGTCTGCTGAAAATAAACCAAACATTATTCAAAGCATATGTAGCTGACATTTTTTCCCTCAAGCGAGACATCTGAAATTGTAATTTTTTAGTTTGGGATTTTTTTCTCTTTTCAGGCTGTGTCTAAAATACCTTCTGTATCTCGCTCTTAGAGAAACTTGGAATTTCTTGTTTAGATTCATGTTGTAGGTGTAAGAGCAGCCAATCTGTCGCTAAATCACCAATTAGAAGTACAGTGTAAGTTTGGATTTCTTAATTTCTTGCGTTTAGCTGCTTCGTGCACTTTAAATATAACTTTAAATTCCTTGTTTTTTATAGCAAAACATTCAAAGTGCATTGGTTAGTGTGTGGGTTTGTATTGCTACACGTCCAACTACTTTTTCTCCATAAATACAACTAATTAATCTAATTTAATTTGCTGTAATTTTTCAGATACATAAAAAAACGAATCTATTGTCACAGAAAATGTTTCAAAGTATGATTTATATATTCTACTTCAACGTCGTTCAATGTCAGGTCTCAACAGGATTCTGCAAAACAGTTACTCATAATATGTCTGTGTTATGTCTATAATATGTCTATAATATGTCTTTTAATATGTCTATAATGTGTCTATAAAATGTCTATAATATGTCTATAATATGTCTATGTCTATAATATGTCTATAATATGTATATAATATGTATATAATAATATGTCTATAATATGTCTATAATATGTCTATAATATGTATATAATAATATGTATATAATAATATGTCTATAATAATATGTCTATAATATGTCTATAATATGTCTTTTAATATGTCTTTTAATATGTCTATAATGTGTCTATAAAAAGTCTAATATGTCTATAATATGTCTATAATTTGTCTATAATATGTCTATAATATGTCTATAATATGTATATAATATGTATATAATAATATGTCTATAATATGTCTATAATATAATATGTCTATAATATGTCTATAATATCCCTGTGTTATGTGTATAATTTGTCCTAAAATGTTTTTCCTTCCATAATACTGAGTACATGACCTAAAATGTATTTTGTAGTTAGTATTAGTATTTCATTAGTTAATAACGGAATAACTACTTCTAATTTGTATCATTAACGTTATACATTTCAATTTTTATCAATACATGTTTAAATAAATAAAACATGCTCTTGTTGTATATTTTGGCAAACATCTATCTATCTATCTACCTACAGTATCTATCTACTGTATCTATCTATCTATCTACTGTATCTATCTATCCACTGTATCTATCTATCTATCTACTGTATCTATCTATCTACTGTATCTATCTATCTACTGTATCTATCTATCTACTGTATCTATCTATCTACTGTATCTATCCATCTATCCACTGTATCTATCTATCTATCTACTGTATCTATCTATCTACTGTATCTATCTATCTATCTATCTACTGTATCTATCTATCCACTGTATCTATCCACTGTATCTATCTACAGTATCTA